CTGTCAATGACTACTTCAGCTTCAACCACAATAACACACAAGCACACAATAGATACAAACTCAAGGTAAACCACACCAAACTCAATTGCAGAAAATACGACTTTAGCGACAGAGTAGTGAATGCCTGGAATGCATTGTTAGATCCTCAAACCCCCATAACTTTAACCTTAAACTGTTGGTTTCTGTTGATTTCATCCTATTCCTACCAGCGTGCCTAATGTCCCTGTCCTACTTTCCCCATTTATTTGTCCCCATTTCATGTGTTCTTATTCATGTTTATTCTTATTCCTGTTGTCTTGTACATGAGTGACAAACTAACTAAATAAAAAATAAATAAAAACCTTGCTAGGTAAGCGACTGCCTCCTTGTCGTCGTCCCCTGCTGATTTCCCATCTCTGCCCTTTGGCCATCTTGCATTCTGTTGATCCTGCCAGCTCTACCAGTCTGCTGCCCTGCCAACCCCCATTGTCCTTTCCCATTTTTTCCTGCTGCTGAGGTCGTGCCCAGTGTGGCCCTTCATGGAGCAGCCTGGTCGTCTCCCTGGAGCCATGCTAAATCAATTGGCTAAATCATACATGGCCTTGTCCAAATTGCGTGTGGTCTTCTGATGAGGTCTTGGAAGCAAAACTTTGGCTTGTACAGTATATGTCAGGGGTGTCAAGCTCAAGGCCCAAGCACCTGGATCCGGCTCTCACGGTGCTTAGATCTGGTCCCTGGAGCTGCCCTGGAAACAGCAAAGGACCAGCCTATGGTGCCTCTGCCAGTGAAAATAGAGCTGGGGAGGGCCGCAGGCAGCCCTTCCAAGCTCCTTTTTCACTGGCAGAGGGTTTCAGGAGGATGTCCCATCAAAAAATGGAGCTTGCAAGGGCCACACTCCACCCCCACCCCCCTTGGCTCTGTTTCTGCTGACAGAGGATTGTAGGAGGCTGTTGCAGCCAAAAACGGAGCTCAGGAGCCCGTTTTCACTGGCAGAACACTTGGGCCACCACAGGCACTCCCTGACACAAGTGATGTCATGCTGGCCACACCCACCCTGGCCAAGGTCAAACACAACCCTGATGCGCCCCTCAATGAAATTGAGTTTGACACCCGTGGTATATATGATTCAATTTATTGCTTTTCATGTTGTTTGATATAATGTGTTATTTTCTAGTTGGATTTCCTAAAGAAGAAAGATTTGCTGGGAGACCTACAGAAAGAATCAGTGGGATTTATGAAAACCTTAAGTCTGAATGCTCCATGGGATTCCATGCAGGCTGGGAACAACCTCATTGGTTTTACAAACATGGGGATGACATTGGATACAAGTAAATGAAAGTTACATATTTGTGCTCCTAATTTATCTTTAAGAATTTAATAGAAACATATTGTACTGCGTTGTCCATTTGGCCAGGTACTGTATTTTTCGGAATATAAAACGGACCTTTTTTCCTCAAAAAAAAATAAAATCTGGGAGCGTCTTATACATGGAATACAGGTTTTTTTGCTTCCCGAAGCCCCGCCCCTTCACCAAAATGGCCGTGCATACCCTCATGAAGGCTTTCAGAGAGCTCCTGGGGGCTGGGGAGGGCAGAAATGAGCAAAAACTGGGCCATTTTTTGACCCCTCCAGCCCCCAGCAGTACTCTATAAGCCTCCATAAGGCTATGCATGCATTTTTTAAAATAAAAAACGGGCCTTTTTTGCTCATTTTTGCCCCCCCCCAGAGCACTCTGCAAGCCCCCCCCAAGGCTATTCATGCCCTAAAAAAATGGACCCGTTTTCATGAAAAATGGGCCATTTTTGGCAGGTTTGCAGAGTGCAAAAACTCCCCCCCCCACCTTTTGGAAAGCTCTTTAACTGATTGATGAGAATTACATTGATCAAGTGCTGTGCCAGTAGAAACAAAGTCTTAGGTGCTGCAAATTGTCAGCAATTTCTTTCTCCAGCACATAGCTAAATAACACCTGGAAACATCTACATACCTACCTACTCTCTCTCCCTCCCTCCCTCCCTACTCTCTCTTCATATCTATCTACTGTATTTTTCTCTCCCCCCCCTCTATCTATCTACCTCCCTTCTCTCTCTCTTTCTCTCTCTCTCTCTCTCTCTCTCTCTACCTACCTATCTATTGTGTTTCTCTCTATTTCTCTCTCTCTATCCCTCTACCTACCAACCTACCTACTCTCTCTCCCCCTACCTATCTATTGTATTTCTCTATCTCTTTCTATTTCTCTCTCTATCCCTCTACCTACCAAGCTATCCTCTCTGTCTACCTACCTACTGTATTTCTCTCTCTCTCTCTCTCTTTATCTACCTACCTACCTACCTACTACCTACCTACTCTCTCTCCTTACCTACCTATTATATTTCTCTCTCTTTCTCTCCCTCTCTATCCCTCTATCTACCTACCTACTTTTTTTAAAATTTGCCTCTTCAAAACCTTGGTGGATCTTATACTCCGGTGCGTCCTATAGTCCGAAAAATACGGTATTTACAAGTTTGGGTCTGTGGCATACGTATGCTCTTTTGTTCTAAGTAGAGTTCCCTGTT